GTCTCGCCTTATCCTCTAGGGTAAGGCTTGCAAGCCAACCCATCAACTGTCTGTGCCAACGAGAATTATACACGGCTTGGGGTAAAGCATCATATTTTTTCCCTTGGAACTTGAAACAAACACCATCAGGCGTATAAGCCGTGACCCTCTTACGATCACAATCAATGACAACCCGATGTGCCGCCAACCAATACATTCCGAGGATAACATCGAACTCCAACATGTCCATGACTCTAAGGTCCACGGTGAGTAGAATCCTCAAGATCTCTAACTCACATTCTCGACATATCTGATCAACTCTCACCCTAGCTCCGAGGGGAGAACTTACATGCAATGGCTCTTTCAAGGTATCAACCTCTAAGCCCAAGTCTCTCACACAAGATGCAACAATAAATGAATGCGATGCACCAGAATCAAATAATACTCTAGCTCATAAATGAGAGAGTAAAAATATACCCTGTATCATCGACTGATCTGCCTACTCAGTTTGTGGTATCATGGAGTAGACACGCCCCTGGGTCCCCGAAATTCCCGTTTGTGAGCCCTATCCTCGGCCTCGACCCATGCCTTGGCTCATCTGGCCTACTTACGGAGTCCCCACCCGTGGAGTAATAAGGGCCTGTGTAGCACCCTAAAACTGATAGTGGCTCCCCTGGCCCATGGTAGGGCAGTGAGGAGTATAATGTGTTTGTGGCTGTCCCACCGAAGTCTGGGACTGTGATGACCCATAACTCTGGGATCTTTGTCTCTGAGGGCAATCCCACTTCATATGACCCGGCTGATGGCAATAGTAGCAAGTCTTTTGGCTTGCCTGGTAAGAAGGTCTCTGATTTCTTCCACCTTGAGAGGACTGAACTTGGCCTTGGCCTTGATAACCACGGCCCTGTCCCTGGGGAGTAAAAGTTCTCTGTCTCTTTTTTGAGCTAGAAGAAGAGGATTGACCCTCTTTCTTCTTTTCCTTAGCACCCGACTCCTGGATGCTCTTTCCGTCATCCACCTCCCTTTCAATGGCCATAACTGTCGTAACCATCGAGTCTAAGTCTTGCAGAAGAAGACCTATTATTTTACCCCGGATGGACAACTTTAGGCCATCCTCAAATTTCCTCACTTTGGCCATATCTGTGGCCACATCTGTGGCCACATAGTCATCGATAAAACGGGCTAACTCAGTGAACTTAGCCACGTACTCCATCACCGTCATCGTTCCTTACCTTAAATCTAAGAACTCTCATGCCTTTGCATGTCTAGCAGCTACCAGAAAATACTTTCCTATAAAGAGCTCCTTGAACTCTACCCATGTCATTACCTCCAAGTTCTTCGAGGTCTTGACCCAATCCCACCACACTTGGGATTCTCCCTCTAGCTGAAAAGTAGTTAGTGTTATCTTTGTGGCATCGGAGGTGATCTCCATAGCCTTTAAGACCTTATCCACTTGTTGGAATCAATGGTTAGCCGCCATCAGATCCGCCCCTCCCATGAAAATCGGAGGCTAATATGCCTTGAACTTCTGAAGGTGACTTGAGCCTCCTTGACTCCCACTTGCACTAGCTTGTGCAATGGTAGCCACTGCCGCACTAATAGCCTCCACAAAGGCTTGTTGGTCAAAGGTCGGTGGTGGTTGGTTGTTCCATCCACCGCCTCGGCATCATCTTCCTCGATTTTCCATCTATATACATGTAAAATAGCAACCAAACACTCGCATAGTATCCCAAGATAGGGATCAAGTTTAAAACTTTGAGATTTTTCTCCTTTCTCACTAGTAATGCATATGTCACCCACTAGTAGACATTTNGCAATGGCTCTTTCAAGGTATCAACCTCTAAGCCCAAGTCTCTCACACAAGATGCAGCAATAAATGAATGCGATGCTCCAGAATCAAATAATACTTTAGCTCATAAATGAGAGAGTAAAAATGTACCCTGTATCACCGACTGATCTGCCTACTCAGTTTGTGGTATCATGGAGTAGACACGCCCAAGTCTCTCCCCTGTATCTGGCCTACTTACGGAGTCCCCACCCGTGGAGTAATAAGGGCCTGTGTAGCACCCTAAAACTGATAGTGGCTCCCTCGGCCCATGGTAGGGCAGTGAGGAGTATAATGTGTTTGTGGCTGTCCCACCGAAGTGTGGGACTGTGATGACCCATAACTCTGGGATCCCTGTCTCTGAGGGCAATCCCGCTTCATATGACCCGGCTGATGGCAATGGTAGCAAGTCCTTTGGCTTGCTTGGTAAGAAGGTCTCTGATTTCTTCCACCTTGAGAGGACTGAACTTGGCCTTGGCCTTGATAACCACGGTCCTGTCCCTGGGGAGTAAAAGTTCTCTGTCTCTTTTTTGAGCTAGAAGAAGAGGATTGACCCTCTTTCTTCTTTTCCTTAGCACTCGACTCCTGGATGCTCTTTCCATCATCCACCTCCCTTTCAATGGCCATAACTGTCGTAACCATCGAGTCTAAGTCTTGCAGAAGAAGACCTACTATTTTACCCCGGATGGACAACTTTAGGTCATCCTCAAATTTTCTCACTTTGGCCATATCTGTGGCCACATAGTCATCGATAAAACGGGCTAACTTAGTGAACTTAGCCACGTACTCCATCACCGTCATCGTTCCTTACCTTAAATCTAAGAACTCTCATGCCTTTGCATGTCTAGCAGCTACCAGAAAATACTTTCCTATAAAGAGCTCCTTGAACTCTACCCATGTCATTACCTCCAAGTTCTTCGAGGTCTTGACCCAATCCCACCACACTTGGGATTCTCCCTCTAGCTGAAAAGTAGTTAGTGTTATCTTTGTGGCATCGGAGGTGATCTCCATAGCCTTTAAGACCTTATCCACTTGTTGGAATCAATGGTTAGCCGCCATCAGATCCGCCCCTCCCATGAAAATCGGAGGCTAATATGCCTTGAACTTCTGAAGGTGACTTGAGCCTCCTTGACTCCCACTTGCACTAGCTTGTGCAATGGTAGCCACCGTCGCACTAATAGCCTCCATAAAGGCTTGTTGGTCAAAGGCCGGTGGTGGTTGGTTGTTCCATCCACCGCCTCGGCATCATCTTCCTCAATTTTCCATCTATATACATGTAAAATAGCAACCAAACACTCGCATAGTATCCCAAGATAGGGATCAAGTTTAAAACTTTGAGATTTTTCTCCTTTCTCACTAGTAATGCATATGTCACCCACTAGTAGACATTTACACAATGAACTATCTCGTTCTTCCCTTTTTTTTGAAACCCATGGTTATGTTTTCTAACCCTAGTGTTTCCCTTTTTATATACATTTCTATCATGCATATAATTCACATAACACGTAGCACATAATCATGTAGCATGTTAGAGCACATAACATGAAATGCACAATGAATGCAATGGTCTAAACTCATGCCCATCAAGCCCTAGGTAATTCGTATACCTATGCTCTGATACCAAGTTGTGACACCCCTAAAATCGGGGGTCCCGTTGACGACCCTTCAACCCACAGAAATGCCCGTGAGTGCCGCTTGATTTGACATCACGCTAATATTATTCCAGTACCTAAAATTTTAACTCACGCGTATTACCCGTGGTCCTTTAATCATTTAATTTAACCATGGCTCAAGGTACCACAATTCATGCCTCTCTATTGTCCAATTTCATCTTTGGAACCAAAGGAATCAAAAACTAAGAGCACATCACTTTAGTTTTAAAGTTTCAAAATTTTGTAGAGAGCACCGATACTGTTTGCTCACTGGCCCTTGGCAGTATCGGTACCGTCTGGATTGTACCAGTATTGTATAGCGGTGCTGTTTGCTTGCTGGACCAGATGGTACTGGTACTGCTAGGGCCAATGAGCAAACAATACCGGTACACAGTACTGGTGCTCTCTACAAAATTTTAAAACTTTAAAACTAAAGTGTTGTGCTGTCGATTTTTGATTCCTTTGGTTCTAAAGATGAAATTGGACAATAGAGAGGTATGAATTGTGGTACCTTGAGCCAAGATTAAATTAAATGATTAAAGGAATACAGGTAATACGTGTGAGTTAAAATTCTGGGTAATGAAATCATATTAGCGTGATGTCGGATCAAGCGGCACTCACGGACATTTTTGCAAATTAACAGGTCGTCAACGGGACCCCCGATTTTAGGGGCGTCACATACTGGGCGCTGCTCGAAAGGCGATTTTGCTGATCGCGATGGAGAAGCGATATTTGGGGACAAGCGCAGGCAGACCTTGTTTGCGCTAGTTGTTAAGTGTGGGAGTGTTGCGGCAACGAGGCGATGGTGCTGGATGGATAAGGCCCGATTGTTGACATTTAATCTAATGTAGTCCTGTGAGTTACAGACAGTCTGAGTTTCAAAAGCGTGCCTAGAGATGACAAAAATAATTTTATTTCAACATAAAAAAATATATAACATGATTACCTAGAGAGACAGACAGACTGCTTGTGTGAGAGCAAAGACAAAGTTTAAAGATTGCTCATGTGAGAGTTGTACCTTTTGAGACCGAGCTTTCGAAGACCCATAAGAGAGCGCTAAATTGGAGATATAGGCTTCCTGCTTGAGAGCAGTGCAGAGACCAAACTTTTGGCGACTCACGAGAGAGCCGCTAAGTTGAATATATAGGCTGCCTGCTTGAGAGTAGTGCAGAGGTCAAACTATTGGTAACCCGCAAGAGAGCCACTCAACTTGAGATATAGACTGTTTACTTGAGAGCAGTGTAGAGACCAAACTTTTAGCGACCCGAGAAAGAATCGCTTAACTGGAAATAAAAAGAAATGTAGAGTTTTACATAAATACTAAGGGTATTTATGTAACACAATGGTTGCTATTAATACTGTAATTTGCAAGCATACAATAACCAACAGGGGTGTCAATGAAATTCCAGAATTGGGAGAAAGTGTCATTAAATTTAGACCTAATTACAAGAAGTGTGAATGAAAATTTCCCTTTTTTATATTATCCACTTCTAATATACGCAATGCAAGCTAATTATATTGAAATATGCCAATAATCTCTTACAAGAATTAAACCTTAAATATCGGGATAATAATATTATTAAAATGATACCATCCAAAGTCCCAAACGAACTTAACATGTAACTTTTGGCATCATCTTTGAGTCCATCTTTGGAGGGCGCGTATTCTAGTGTTGGATTCTGAGTTCGATCCTTGCTCACAGTCACACGCTTCAATGCACAAGAAAACTATAAGCACACTTATTTTCATTACCTTCCCAATAATGATAAGCAATGCAAGCCCATCACAAAAAACTGGTAATCTACCAGCAAAGGTACAAATAGATACTAAACACCTTTACAACGTAATAAAGTCCAATATAGGAAGAATTCTGCGGTGTAGAACATCATGGTGATTAGGAGGTAACTCTCAGAAACCATCCACCCACTTGAGAGATAGAAAGAGAGAGAGCGCCATGATTGAGGTAGCTTCAAGCACCTGATACTGTGCTTTTAACTGTAAGCTATGCCACTCAAGATTATGCATCGGTGCCTGGTTCGTTGATTTGTATTGATGTTCTTGATAAGTTTGCTTCCAGTTCATTTAATTCATCCATGTCCAGCTCATCATCATCGACGTCAGGAAGAACTTCACTATCGTGGGCAGCTTCTGTCGAGGTACTTGGGCCGACTGTAGCAGAATTTGTATTAACCTGATTATCAGAAAATGAATGATATAAGGGATGGTCAGAGAATGCCAATATAAGGAATGCCAATAGCATTACAATGCACATAGAGAACAGGCCACGCATAGATGATCATCATCCTAGATTAACTTAATGCAACATATAAATATGTCCAATGATTCCGACATGTAGCCAGCCAAAAGCAATTGTTTGGGGCCACAGAATGAGGCATCCATTCATTTGGAGCAAAATTATCACGAGGTCAAAATTTTATGTCTTTCATATATTTAGTCATCAATAGGTGAATGGATTTGAAGAATATATAATAAGATAGATCCGACACTACAAAAAATTATAAGAATGGGACTAGGAAACAAGCAGATGGAATATCTCTTAGCTAACAGTTCTTACTCCCCATTTCCCACTCCTGTCCTAGTTCTTAAACTAATCAAGGAATTCCCAAGAATTTAGGGGTCTTCCGCATCCAACTCCCAACTAGTAAGTGAACCCTATACATTTCCCTTTGGGACTGATAGGAGACACCACTCAAGCAAACCGCTGGCAGATATCTATGTATTTAGACTTTAGAACATCTCTGCATCACATTGGAGTCATAACACTCACTGTGCCACAGAAGTTCATGGAGCCCTCAAGCATTGCCGAGAAAATACAAGAAGGTGAAGGAAAATATTTACCTTCTGTTTGCTGACATCTGATTCTTCTTCTCTTTGGTACTTGTCGTATGCTTCAGCATCATCCACAAACCAGCTAGCATCCGACAAGAACAGCTCACGACCACTGGAATTGATGTGAAATGTAACAATTAGTCATGACAGTTTACATTCACACATTCATGCATATAATAGAAAGAAAAAAATGCATGCTCAAGCACACCAACGAAGAGACGGGAGCAGAAAAAAGTACCTCATACGGTCATTCTTGGCCCTCTCTGCCTGCTGTGCAGCCAAGCCAGCATCTCTTTCTTCCATCTTTTTCTTCTTCCATTGCATGAACAACTCAGGAGTCATAGGAGTTGAAGCAGTCAACTTTGCACGCTGAAAACAAAGCAAAAAATCTCACTAGAATTCTTTTTTATGAAAAAAATAATATATGCATGATGCATTTCTGATCAAAATACTCTTATGGCTGTGCAACTTCTCCAATCACCTGATTTTCAATCTCTTCCTCAATGGATATCTTTTCACCCTCTTCCTCTAGCAGAGCCTTCATCTGAGACTTCAAAACATATCCTGGAGGAAGTGCATGCCTGTAGTGGCACTCTTTACCCCCATTTGGACAGACCCAAAACCAACCATATTGCTTCTTCTCCACTGCTTCCAAAAAGTACTTACATACCTGCAGACACAAGAAGAACAATAATATTTTGATCCAAACGGCATACACAATTTTAGGCTAAATTACAACCCAATTAATGAATGATGCAACAAAAAGTCAGTCATCAAAATATAGCCCAGTCCAACTTTTGAAGGAGGATACACCGATACAGGGACCTGGCCCACTTTACCAGAATCCATAGACATTTTCAGTTTCTTTGTAACGTGTTCTGCTCACAATAGTGAAATAAAATTCATGGACCAATTCCAAAATTTTTGGGATAATTGACCACAATACCCTATGTTAAGCAAATAACACTGACCTCTGATGTCCATCATTTTTGAAAGAAAACATAAAATGACTATAATACCCCCTATGGGAGCTATTAATTGACCATAATTCCCTATGTACAAAGTACTGCTTTAAAGGAATTTTAGAGAATATTTTGATAAAAAAAACTTTTGTTAAAATACAGTTATCATCATCTCTGGTGAGCCATCTAAGCCACCACCCAAAATCCACAACAAGCACCATCCCCAACAACTCAGTACACAAGCAGCACAAATCAATACCTAAAGCCACCACCCAAAACCTCAAGAAACCACCCAAGCTACCACAGCATAAACCAAAGAACCCACCATCACACCACTGCGGCGAACACATAGACAGAAGTGTGAAGGCGCACACACACCAGCCCACAAGAACCCACCCCTCCACTAACCTCTCAAAATTACCATGATCCAAAACACCTAGACTAGAACCATCTGCCCATGTCTCACCCAATAACAAGAAACCCACCCCTCTACCACCGTAATGCCCACCATACCGCAGTCACATACCCACAACCCACCACTGCAGACACTATCGAATGGTGAATGATCGAACAATAAGTTGTTTGTCAAAGAGAGAGGGGAGAGAGAGAAAGATAATACACCTTACCAAAAACAATCCCCTTCCAATCACCTCCACTTCTCCACAACTAGATATACTCAAACCAATCACATCCATCATTGGCTACCCCAACCCCTTTTGGCGAACACTGATTTTAGAGCACAAACTAACCTTTGAGCATCCAAGTTCAACTAAGCCATTTCCATAAGACTCATTAAGAGAAAGTCGTTGCAGATATGAAAGCTAGAGATATGATAGAGCATGAGGTGATTAGGATTGGTCAATAAACCCCACCTAAAAATGAGCAAAACCCTTACCTGTTCAATCCTTATGCAAAAGAGAGCAAGAGAGAGAGAGAGAGAGAGGCTGTTTCTACAGATGGAGGTTGAGGAGAGAATAGACGCAAATAGTTTGAAATTTTATTGGGTTCCACATGAATATAGTCTTATGATGCTCAACAGTTTATCAATCTGGTTTAAGCCGAACTCAATAAATTGATAACTTTCTAAATTTTATCCAGCTTATAATCTCACAAGCCAACCTAGAAGGAGGCCTAGCAGAGGGAGCACAAGCCTATTTCCAGTAGTTCGGCTCCTATTGCAGCAGTAAAGCATATTCAATTTTCACAATGATGTTTTGCGTTTTTGCTTACGCCCATGGTAAGTATAATTTAATTATAGGTCAGCTCTCCACCAAAAGGGGAACAGATATTCGTGATATCAGTGCTACACCTTCCGCAAATAAGAAAAAAATACAAATGCTTATGCCATTTCATGATCAAATGACAAAAAAAAAAAAATTAAATAAATAAAAGATTTTATATTTCCTTGACATTTCTCTATATCTCTCTCACTCATATGCATAAAAAATTTCCAAAGGTAATCTGTGCGTGTGGCTGTGCCTCACCCATGCTTATATATTTCTTCAAGTTTCCCAATGCAACCAAACAAGGCAAGATGAAATTCATGTCCAATAGAACGGCTAATACACAAGTTGTGTATTTGTTATCAAAAAAGCCAATTTGATTTCTTTTTCAATTAACAGTAACAAAAACAACTATTGAGAGCTAAATAAGATAATGAAACCGATAAAATGACTCACAATATCAGTTGGTTTATTTTTTTGATACTCGTTGCTCTTTGACTCCACAATTTTCTCCAAAGTCTCTTGATCCCAATCCTCCATCGTTTCATTTTCTGTTTATACAAAAACCAAGAAATGAAACATTCAAACACAAATTACAATCACCATCCAGCACAACTGATCAGAAATACCAAAATTACCACAAAAACACAAACGATTACTCAAGAACTATTATTTTATACAATCACCTGTATCGCGTTTATCGCTATAGATATCAATCTTCTCTCCTTTCCTTTGAACATTCAAATCATGTGAGAACTTGCACTTAAAACCCTTAGCACACTGCCCCACTTTATAGAATTCGCATAATATTGATTTCGGATCAACACCTAAAAACACAGAAACACCAAATTTGCTAAAACAAACATTAAACCGCAGGTCCTTATATCTACATCTATATAAAAATCAACTCCTGATAACGCATAATATTGTTTTGTTAGTGCGATCGTATGAAAATCAAGCATTAATGATACCAGAGTGAAAACAGTAAAGAAAAAATCAAAATTACCAACTGGGACTTTGGGCTGACTGACGGCAACCTTGAACAAATCATTCAGCTCCTTCTCTTTAGCTTTCTCTCCCTCATGCTTCTTCTGTTCATTTGAATTGCTATGAAATTAATAAATTATTTGATCGAAGCAATACAAATACATATACCTTCACATAAATATATGCGATGAATCGATCAATGCTACATAAATAAACATGGTGAGGGACCTTTTGAGAGATTTTGGAGGGGTCAGGCTTGGGTTGAACGGATTGCTTGAGGGTCTGAACATATTTCTGGACATTTTTGGACTTGTTCTTATTCTTGAGACCGAATGTCTTGTCTTCGACGATCTTCTGCTTCTTCGCTAAATCGGCTTTTGATTGCTGCTTCGGAGGCATCGCTGATTGTCATCCAATCCAAATGTTTTTTCGGTGATTTGCTTGATTTGTTTTTGTAATAATTTAGCAGATGATTAGGGCGTCTTTATTCGACCGTCCTCGATAATACTTTGAAGTGTTTGAGTTAGATTGTGAATTGTAACCAACCGTTCCGACGTAGGGATCGTCAGAGATGGACGTCTGTTTAAGAAGCTTTTGGACTTGTCCGGTTTCGAGAAGATACGTGGATACTGGATAGTGAAGATTACTAATTGGCCCTTGGTTTTGCATACAAAATACAAACGTGATTCATTCGTTTACGTAATCTTCCACCTACTGGGTGTAACGATTACAAAAAAATAATAAATGAATATTACATAATTAAATAATTATTTATTTATGTCATATAATAATTACTTATGTGGGCCCTACTTATTTATGAACTGTTATACCCAATGTTTTGTCTTATTCGTGTGTCTTAAAGGTAAAGTATTTAATGTAAAAATCACACTATATAACTTGTAGTTGTATTGTATAGTATCACTATTTAATAAAAGTAAAATAAATAATTTCCACACAATTTAGTAGTTTCCATCTCCATGTAACATAATCAATGTCTCATAAATAATCACTTTACCATTTTATTCTCGTTTATTACATAGTGACATTAAATAACAGTGATTATTTTTTCTCTCTAATTTTTGACATATGACTATTTTTTTTAAGAATAATAATATTTTAATTTTTTTGAGAAATAATTTAGCCTATTTTAAAAAAATAGGCACGTGAGAGCTCAAGCCGAACTAGCTCATGTCAATTTATTTAATATTACAAGTAACAAGTTGAATTCTCTACTTATANCTGCCCATGTCTCACCCAATAACAAGAAACCCACCCCTCTACCACCGTAATGCCCACCATACCCCAGTCACATACCCACAACCCACCACTGCAGACACTATCGAATGGTGAATGATCGAACAATAAGTTGTTTGTCAAAGAGAGAGGGGAGAGAGAGAAAGATAATACACCTTACCAAAAACAATCCCCTTCCAATCACCTCCACTTCTCCACAACTAGATATACTCAAACCAATCACATCCATCATTGGCTACCCCAACCCCTTTTGGCGAACACTGATTTTAGAGCACAAACTAACCTTTGAGCATCCAAGTTCAACTAAGCCATTTCCATAAGACTCATTAAGAGAAAGTCGTTGCAGATATGAAAGCTAGAGATATGATAGAGCATGAGGTGATTAGGATTGGTCAATAAACCCCACCTAAAAATGAGCAAAACCCTTACCTGTTCAATCCTTATGCAAAAGAGAGCAAGAGAGAGAGAGAGAGAGAGGCTGTTTCTACAGATGGAGGTTGAGGAGAGAATAGACGCAAATAGTTTGAAATTTTATTGGGTTCCACATGAATATAGTCTTATGATGCTCAACAGTTTATCAATCTGGTTTAAGCCGAACTCAATAAATTGATAACTTTCTAAATTTTATCCAGCTTATAATCTCACAAGCCAACCTAGAAGGAGGCCTAGCAGAGGGAGCACAAGCCTATTTCCAGTAGTTCGGCTCCTATTGCAGCAGTAAAGCATATTCAATTTTCACAATGATGTTTTGCGTTTTTGCTTACGCCCATGGTAAGTATAATTTAATTATAGGTCAGCTCTCCACCAAAAGGGGAACAGATATTCGTGATATCAGTGCTACACCTTCCGCAAATAAGAAAAAAATACAAATGCTTATGCCATTTCATGATCAAATGACAAAAAAAAAAAAATTAAATAAATAAAAGATTTTATATTTCCTTGACATTTCTCTATATCTCTCTCACTCATATGCATAAAAAATTTCCAAAGGTAATCTGTGCGTGTGGCTGTGCCTCACCCATGCTTATATATTTCTTCAAGTTTCCCAATGCAACCAAACAAGGCAAGATGAAATTCATGTCCAATAGAACGGCTAATACACAAGTTGTGTATTTGTTATCAAAAAAGCCAATTTGATTTCTTTTTCAATTAACAGTAACAAAAACAACTATTGAGAGCTAAATAAGATAATGAAACCGATAAAATGACTCACAATATCAGTTGGTTTATTTTTTTGATACTCGTTGCTCTTTGACTCCACAATTTTCTCCAAAGTCTCTTGATCCCAATCCTCCATCGTTTCATTTTCTGTTTATACAAAAACCAAGAAATGAAACATTCAAACACAAATTACAATCACCATCCAGCACAACTGATCAGAAATACCAAAATTACCACAAAAACACAAACGATTACTCAAGAACTATTATTTTATACAATCACCTGTATCGCGTTTATCGCTATAGATATCAATCTTCTCTCCTTTCCTTTGAACATTCAAATCATGTGAGAACTTGCACTTAAAACCCTTAGCACACTGCCCCACTTTATAGAATTCGCATAATATTGATTTCGGATCAACACCTAAAAACACAGAAACACCAAATTTGCTAAAACAAACATTAAACCGCAGGTCCTTATATCTACATCTATATAAAAATCAACTCCTGATAACGCATAATATTGTTTTGTTAGTGCGATCGTATGAAAATCAAGCATTAATGATACCAGAGTGAAAACAGTAAAAAAATAATCAAAATTACCAACTGGGACTTTGGGCTGACTGACGGCAACCTTGAACAAATCATTCAGCTCCTTCTCTTTAGCTTTCTCTTCCTCTTGCTTCTTCTGTTCATTTGAATTGCTATGAAATTAATAAATTATTTGATCGAAGCAATACAAATACATATACCTTCACATAAATATATGCGATGAATCGATCAATGCTACATAAATAAACATGGTGAGGGACCTTTTGAGAGATTTTGGAGGGGTCAGGCTTGGGTTGAACGGATTGCTTGAGGGTCTGAACATATTTCTGGACATTTTTGGACTTGTTCTTATTCTTGAGACCGAATGTCTTGTCTTCGACGATCTTCTGCTTCTTCGCTAAATCGGCTTTTGATTGCTGCTTCGGAGGCATCGCTGATTGTCATCCAATCCAAATGTTTTTTCGGTGATTTGCTTGATTTGTTTTTGTAATAATTTAGCAGATGATTAGGGCGTCTTTATTCGACCGTCCTCGATAATACTTTGAAGTGTTTGAGTTAGATTGTGAATTGTGACCAACCGTTCCGACGTAGGGATCGTCAGAGATGGACGTCTGTTTAAGAAGCTTTTGGATACTGGATAGTGAAGATTACTAATTGGCCCTTGGTTTTGCATACAAAGTACAAACGTGATTCATTCGTTCACGTAATCTTCCACCTACTGGGTGTAACGATTACAAAAAAATAATAAATGAATATTACATAATTAAATAATTATTTATTTATGTCATATAATAATTACTTATGTGGGCCCTACTTATTTATGAACTGTTATACCCAATGTTTTGTCTTATTCGTGTGTCTTAAAGGTAAAGTATTTAATGTAAAAATCACACTATATAACTTGTAGTTGTATTGTATAGTATCACTATTTAATAAAAGTAAAATAAATAATTTCCACACAATTTAGTAGTTTCCATCTCCATGTAACATAATCAATGTCTCATAAATAATCACTTTACCATTTTATTCTCGTTTATTAGATGGTGACATTAAATAACAGTGATTATTTTTTCTCCTTAATTTTTGACATATGACTATTTTTTTTAAGAACAATAATATTTTAATTTTTTTGAAAAATAATTTAGCCTATTTTTAAAAAATAGGCACGTGAGAGCTCAAGCCGAACTAGCTCATGTCAATTTATTTAATATTACAAGTAACAAGTTGAATTCTCTACTTATAAAATTATAACAACAATGACAATTGATCTTGAAGGTGTCAATAAATTTTGATCATCGTCTGACAATTAAACTTGGGCATGTGGTAAGCTGTACGTGCTGAAAAAAGTTATTTGGAATGATTCTACTACAACCGAGCAAGTAGTTAGGCTATTCGGGCCAAGCTAAAGTTGGTCCGACCAAGCAGATAGTTAGGCTATTTCGGTCGAGTTAAAATTGGTCCGACCTAGTAGAGGATAAAATTCGACTGAGCAGACAGCTAGGTTGTCTCAGTTGAGCAGAGGATAATATCCGACCAAGCNAACAATAAGTTGTTTGTCAAAGAGAGAGGGGAGAGAGAGAAAGATAATACACCTTACCAAAAACAATCCCCTTCCAATCACCTCCACTTCTCCACAACTAGATATACTCAAACCAATCACATCCATCATCGGCTACCCCAACCCCTTTTGGCGAACACTGATTTTAGAGCACAAACTAACCTTTGAGCATCCAAGTTCAACTAAGCCATTTCCATAAGACTCATTAAGAGAAAGTCGTTGCAGATATGAAAGCTAGAGATATGATAGAGCATGAGGTGATTAGGATTGGTCAATAAACCCCACCTAAAAATGAGCAAAACCCTTACCTGTTCAATCCTTATGCAAAAGAGAGCAAGAGAGAGAGAGAGAGAGAGAGGCTGTTTCTACAGATGGAGGTTGAGGAGAGAATAGACGCAAATAGTTTGAAATTTTATTGGGTTCCACATGAATATAGTCTTATGATGCTCAACAGTTTATCAATCTGGTTTAAGCCGAACTCAATAAATTGATAACTTTCTAAATTTTATCCAGCTTATAATCTCACAAGCCAACCTAGAAGGAGGCCTAGCAGAGGGAGCACAAGCCTATTTCCAGTAGTTCGGCTCCTATTGCAGCAGTAAAGCATATTCAATTTTCACAATGATGTTTTGCGTTTTTGCTTACGCCCATGGTAAGTATAATTTAATTATAGGTCAGCTCTCCACCAAAAGGGGAACAGATATTCGTGATATCAGTGCTACACCTTCCGCAAATAAGAAAAAAATACAAATGCTTATGCCATTTCATGATCAAATGACAAAAAAAAAAAAATTAAATAAATAAAAGATTTTATATTTCCTTGACATTTCTCTATATCTCTCTCACTCATATGCATAAAAAATTTCCAAAGGTAATCTGTGCGTGTGGCTGTGCCTCACCCATGCTTATATATTTCTTCAAGTTTCCCAATGCAACCAAACAAGGCAAGATGAAATTCATGTCCAATAGAACGGCTAATACACAAGTTGTGTATTTGTTATCAAAAAAGCCAATTTGATTTCTTTTTCAATTAACAGTAACAAAAACAACTATTGAGAGCTAAATAAGATAATGAAACCGATAAAATGACTCACAATATCAGTTGGTTTATTTTTTTGATACTCGTTGCTCTTTGACTCCACAATTTTCTCCAAAGTCTCTTGATCCCAATCCTCCATCGTTTCATTTTCTGTTTATACAAAAACCAAGAAATGAAACATTCAAACACAAATTACAATCACCATCCAGCACAACTGATCAGAAATACCAAAATTACCACAAAAACACAAACGATTACTCAAGAACTATTATTTTATACAATCACCTGTATCGCGTTTATCGCTATAGATATCAATCTTCTCTCCTTTCCTTTGAACATTCAAATCATGTGAGAACTTGCACTTAAAACCCTTAGCACACTGCCCCACTTTATAGAATTCGCATAATATTGATTTCGGATCAACACCTAAAAACACAGAAACACCAAATTTGCTAAAACAAACATTAAACCGCAGGTCCTTATATCTACATCTATATAAAAATCAACTCCTGATAACGCATAATATTGTTTTGTTAGTGCGATCGTATGAAAATCAAGCATTAATGATACCAGAGTGAAAACAGTAAAAGAAAAAATCAAAATTACCAACTGGGACTTTGGGCTGACTGACGGCAACCTTGAACAAATCATTCAGCTCCTTCTCTTTAGCTTTCTCTCCCTCATGCTTCTTCTGTTCATTTGAATTGCTATGAAATTAATAAATTATTTGATCGAAGCAATACAAATACATATACCTTCACATAAATATATGCGATGAATCGATCAATGCTACATAAATAAACATGGTGAGGGACCTTTTGAGAGATTTTGGAGGGGTCAGACTTGGGCTGAACGGATTGCTTGAGGGTCTGAACATATTTCTGGACATTTTTGGACTTGTTCTTATTCTTGAGACCGAATGTCTTGTCTTCGACGATCTTCTGCTTCTTCGCTAAATCGGCTTTTGATTGCTGCTTCGGAGGCATCGCTGATTGTCATCCAATCCAAATGTTTTTTCGGTGATTTGCTTGATTTGTTTTTGTAATAATTTAGCAGATGATTAGGGCGTCTTTATTCGACCGTCCTCGATAATACTTTGAAGTGTTTGAGTTAGATTGTGAATTGTGACCAACCGTTCCGACGTAGGGATCGTCAGAGATGGACGTCTGTTTAAGAAGCTTTTGGATACTGGATAGTGAAGATTACTAATTGGCCCTTGGTTTTGCATACAAAGTACAAACGTGATTCATTCGTTCACGTAATCTTCCACCTACTGGGTGTAACGATTACAAAAAAATAATAAATGAATATTACATAATTAAATAATTATTTATTTATGTCATATAATAATTACTTATGTGGGCCCTACTTATTTATGAACTGTTATACCCAATGTTTTGTCTTATTCGTGTGTCTTAAAGGTAAAGTATTTAATGTAAAAATCACACTATATAACTTGTAGTTGTATTGTATAGTATCACTATTTAATAAAAGTAAAATAAATAATTTCCACACAATTTAGTAGTTTCCATCTCCATGTAACATAATCAATGTCTCATAAATAATCACTTTACCATTTTATTCTCGTTTATTACATAGTGACATTAAATAACAGTGATTATTTTTTCTCTCTAATTTTTGACATATGACTATTTTTTTTAAGAATAATAATATTTTAATTTTTTTGAGAAATAATTTAGCCTATTTTAAAAAAATAGGCACGTGAGAGCTCAAGCCGAACTAGCTCATGTCAATTTATTTAATATTACAAGTAACAAGTTGAATTCTCTACTTATAAAATTATAACAACAATGACAATTGATCTTGAAGGTGTCAATAAATTTTGATCATCGTCTGACAATTAAACTTGGGCATGTGGTAAGCTGTACGTGCTGAAAAAAGTTATTTGGAATGATTCTACTACAACCGAGCAAGTAGTTAGGCTATTCGGGCCAAGCTAAAGTTGGTCCGACCAAGCAGATAGTTAGGCTATTTCGGTCGAGTTAAAATTGGTCCGACCTAGTAGAGGATAAAATTCGACTGAGCAGACAGCTAGGTTGTCTCAGTTGAGCAGAGGATAATATCCGACCAAGCAGATAACTAGGCTATCTTGAAAAGTTAGAGACGGTGCTAGGCGACCAATGAAGAAATTGTCTAAATCATAGGAACACATAATTAACATGCGACCTAAATCAACTAATGAGAAAGGAAATCTTATAAGGGTCAAACACAAATTAAGGAAAGAATGATTGAAATTGAGGTGTGCCACCATATTCCAATAAGGACGACAATCCTGAATAATCGGGGACGAGCTCCCTATAAATACCTTTAAAGCTT